GCCTCTCTCAACTACCACTCTACATTGCCTCACACAGGCAGTAAAACCCAGAACCACCCTCCTGTGCCTTTCCCCAGAAGCTTCCTGGATTCACAACAGATACCCCTGTGTTTTTCACTGTCACCTCTTGCTCTGATTTCCTGCTTCTGCTGAATTCTTTTTCTCCCCAGTATTCCTTTTCACATTTTTTTTCTAACTTTTAGTACTAGTTTTATCAGAGTTACACATCCACAGTCTGGAGAGTCAAATACCAAAAAAAAAAAATTTTTAATGGAAATCAGTGGTCCCACATCTGCCCACCTTCCACTTCTCCCAGCCCAGAGGAATCTGCTTTACCACATTTATTGTATCATTTTGCTATTTATCTCCCTGTCTCTAAATACCATGTTTGTATGGATACCTCTTGATTTTCCAATTTTAAGCATTTTCCATCCACTTCTCACTATGAAAGACATATTCATACTCTTATTTAAATCACTCCAGCCTCCCACATTGTGATTCTCGCTAAATGAATATGCAGTGGTTACACATTATCACTGTGTGAACACTCCCACAGCTGCCACAAGTAGTAAACCATGATTACTTTCCTCTCCTACACAATTCTTTGTTTTTCCTGGAGTTAATAATTGCCTTTTTTTCTGTTGTTCCAGTTGCTTGGTGTCTGAGTGCTCTTTGTGCTTAACTAATTCAAACCCAAATTCTCTGTTAACTATATGAATCTCTTCTTCGCATATTCAGACGCATCAGTTACTCCATTAATTTCACCTTATTGAAGAAGTTTCTCTCGTGGCCTCTGGCCAGCTGCAGTCTGGGGCACAGGCGCCATCTTGATCCCTTCACCTCCCCCGTGGCTTAGATCTTGTCGTATCCCAATCCTTCCTCCTCCTGGATTTAGCTCTCTTTTTCTTTTGAGCTTCCTGACAACAGGCACATGGGGGTAAAATTTTAGAGACATTGCAATTCTGAAAACATCTTTACTCTTGATGGGCCGTCTGGCTGGGTATAAAATTCTGGGCTGGAGGTCATTTTCCTCTAGAATTTTCAAGGCATCACCCCATTGTCTTCTAATTTCCGGTGTAACTGTTGAAAAGTCTGAAGTCATTCTGATTCCTAAGCCTTGAATGTGATGTGTTTTTCTTTTCCCTGTCCTCAGTATGCTGGCATTTCTCACTAATGTGTCTTCAACTATTTTCATTGCTGGACCTTTCAATCCTATCCTCATGTCATTCTAAGAACTCTTTTTTTCATCTTTGAATGTTTATAGTATTCTGTAAATTTTATCATATCCTATTTTATACTATCCTATTCATGGTTCAAAGTTGCAGTATCTTGTCTCATTTCTCTGATTATCTTAATGACAGTTCTTGGTTTTTTTACATTTTCTCCTCTCTATATATTCTGTTTCCTCCAAGTCCCCACCCCCCATTTGTTTGTATCTTTCTCTTTAGAGGCTTTATCTGATGTCTATCAATTCTTGGTAGTCTGTTCATATTTGGGAGTGGGGGGTCCAAAATTCTGGAAGTGGTGGGCCTGTGATTACATGAGCAAACTGTTGACTATGAATGTCACTGTAGGGTGATGTGTCTGGATCATTTTTGTTGGGGAATTTCCAATGTCAGTATTTTTCAGTCTCTTTTCTTGGGTTAGTCAAATATATATAAAAAATATATATATGTATGCATGTGTATATGTATACATATACATATTATATGTATAATGTTTTTAATATAGAGAGGAACAAAGAAATATAATGAACCATGATCTCCCTCACAAGATAACCCATAATGATATGAAAGTTAAAAGGCATTCACTCATTCATTCATTCATCCAATAAATGTTTATTTAGGGTCTTCTGGCACCAGGCACTGGGCTAGGCATCGAGGATATGTCAGTGAACACAGCAAAGCCCCTGCTCTCCTGGAGCTCCCATTCTAGTCTGGGAGGTGGACGCACACACGTGTCTAGGGCAGCGCTCTCCAACAGGCTTTGTGCGATGATGGAATGTTCTAGACCTGAGCACTCCAATATGGGAGCCACTGGCTCTTGCTCACTTGAAATGTGGTTGGTGTGACTAAGGAACTAAACTTTTAATTTAGTTAAAATTTAAATTCAAATAGCCACACGTGGCTAGTGGTTACCAGCGTGGACAGCACTAGAAAATTCCATCCTTACAGAGAGGTACAAGGGAACTGGCAGCCTCACATGGCTTCGGCTGGCTCACATACCAACTGTGGGCTTACCCTACCGCTGAGGGCAAGCAACCTCACAGGGAGGGAAAGGACATGCATCTCTTAAAAAGAAAAAAAGAAACAGCTTCTCCTCCCAGCCAGTTCTGGAATCCCATTCCATGAGACAGGTTCAATTTCTCACTCACATAGGAGGGGCAAAAAGGAAACATGAAGTCCCCCTTCCCTAAAGTAAGCCTTATTTTTTATTTCTTTCAGATCAATTAAAACATGTATGCATACACACATCTTTCTACATTCCTTACTAAAAGTACACACTGTTCCCCTCTTGCTTTTTCCATGGAGGAAAACCTCTTGGCATCTTTCCCATATTAATGAAACCTCACCTCTCAGCTCAGTGCCTGACTCACAGAACGCCAGCCTTGCACCAGCCTGAATTCGTTCATTCAACCACTCTTTCTTAAGCACCTATTGTGCGCCAGGCAACGTTCTAGACCCTGTGGATACAGCGGTGAACCAGACAGACAAGGTCTGTTCCCTCATGGAACTTAAGTTCCAGTGCGGGGGGAGAGGGCCAATACACTTAATAACTAAGAACATTTTATATTACAAGGGGTAAGTGCTATGGACAAAAATAGGGCAGAGAGGGAAGGAGTCTGGGAGACCCAGGGAGGAGACTAAAGCTTGCAGTATTAAATAGGGTGCTCGGGAAGGTGTCTTTTGAGCAAACACTTGAAGGAGGTGAGGGAGCGAGCCAGGCGGTTATCTGGGAGAAGAACGTTGCAGCAGAGGGAACCGCCAGTGCAAAGGCCCTGAGGCAGGAGCGTGCTGAAGCGGTCCAGGAACTGTGCAAAGGGCAGTGTGGCTGGAGCAGAGTGAGTGAGGGAGGCGTGCATGGGAGATGAGGGCAGAGGGGTGAGGAGGGATGCGGGGGTGTTTGGTGGCCTAGGGCCTTGTCACTCAAGGTAACTCCAGTCACTCTGACTGAAGTGAGGAGCCAGGGGAAGGCAGTGAGCTGAGGAGGGCGGGGAGGATCCCTCTGGCGACAGGGTGGGAATAAACAGGACAGTAGGGACAGACGCAGGGAATTTTAATTTTCCAAACCTACGCCTAAACAAAGGCTGCAGGGCATGGCTGGTTACTAGAGGTTTAGGGATGAGGGGATATGGAAGGGAGAGCAGCATTATATCCCAGAACAACTGAGCAAACCATGAAAAGTGAAGGCTCTTAGATCCCCTCTTCCTGAAAGCCCCTCAGACCTTCCCGCCACCGGAAGCCTTGATCTTTGGCTCTAAAATGCTCCTTGGGTCTCCACCCCCCACACCCCTCTTTTGTGTCCCCCAAGGACACCCTCCTTCCTTCTTATCCTAGTCCCCAGCACCTCCATCCCTCCTCTTCAGCCTGACTCTGAAAACTGGAAGTTCTTCACACTTAAACCCAGGGAACAATTCACCTTTCACCCCTAAGGGCATTTTTCTAAACAAAGAGAAACCTAGAGAGAAATTACCGTTTGCCCACAAGGCCTCAGTGCCCGCAGGCAGGAGAGGTATTGTTCTTGCCTATATATATATATATATACTTCCAGATGTCAGCTGCGAGCTCCCTGCCTGTTAGGATGGATATAAAATGAATTCCAACCCCATTCTCCCCCAGCCACTGCCCTCCCCAAGCTTCTGCTCATTCTTTGCCCCACCCCCACATTTTTGCTTCAGCTGGATCCATTCCGTTTGGGGAACCTTCTGTCTGTCTGTCTCCCCACTTGGGGTGCACAGACTAATTCTGTCCTTTTCCTTAATTTCTCTGCAACCATCCATGTACACAAGGCATTTATGTGCATGTGTGTAGATGAGCTTTACTGAATGTTTGGGGACACAGATCAACAGACAGGCAAATGACTCAAAACTCCAGGTGACACATTCTTCTAGAACACCCTTTGCCTTCCCTGCAGCCCGGTGTTCAGACACAAGCTTTGATCTGTCTGTTTTCCCCGGACCTGCGCTGTCCAATATGACTTACATGTAAATTAATTAAAATTAAATAAAATTTAAAGTTCTGTCCCTTCGTCACACGGGTCACATTTCAAGTGCTCAAGAGCCACGTGTGACTGGTGGCTGTCACGCTGGACAGTGCAGATGGAACATCTCCATCATCGCAGTGTTCTTTTGGACAACGCTGGACAAAGCTCCCTCTAAGAGCCAGTCTGGTGTCTGCAGTTAAGATGACCCCAATTTCACCCATGACATATGTCATTTTAAAAAATAAATATGGAATTATACTCTGTATGGGATTCTAAGTTTTTTGTTTTTCTCATTAATACACCCTGGACATCTTCAAATGTCAGATCATAAGCATTTATCTTATTTCACAGAATAGTTACCCAGTGTTCTGTGGTGTGGATTCATTTATTCACTCGTTCATTTATTCTGCAAAATTATTATTTGTATGATTCGCCTTTCTGAGCCTCAGTCTTTCTTTTTAAAGTGAAAGAGTATATAGGACCTTCTCTGGGGGGCTCTGGTGAGGATTAAACGCGTCATTATGTCATTAACAGCACAGCTAGCATTTCTCCAGCACTTCCTCTGCCCCAAGCCCTAACTGACCTTTGCAATGACCTTAGAAGGGAGGTATTGCTATTACACCCATTTTACAGATGTTGAAACCGAGGCACAGAGAGGTGCAGTGACTTGCTCAAGAGTTCCCCACTAGTTAGGCTTGGAGCAGTTGGAGATCAGGGGTGAGAGGAGTTCTGGGCTGGGCCATAAGGGCATCTGAGTGGACTCACCCTGCCCTTCATGCCCCCCCCCCCGCCCCCAGGAAGCTGGACGCCTTCATCTATGACGCAGCTGTGCTCAACTACATGGCCCGCAAGGATGAGGGCTGCAAGCTCGTCACCATCGGCTCCGGCAAGGTCTTTGCCACCACGGGCTACGGCATCGCTCTGCACAAGGGCTCCCGCTGGAAGCGGCCCATCGACCTGGCGCTGCTGCAGTTCCTGGGGGATGGTGCGCGCTGCACGCAGGGATGGGGGGCAGGAGAGGGCGAGACCCCTGGGTCCCGGGGGAGGAGGCGATGAGGATGGAGACACCAGGGTCTGAGGGAGGAGGAGGCTGGGGGCCTAGACTCCTGTATCAGAGAGGAGGGTCCTCAGAGGGTGCCCGCGGAAGGTGACCTCCGACCCCCTTTCCCTAGATGAGATCGAGATGCTGGAGCGGCTGTGGCTCTCCGGGATCTGCCACAATGACAAAATCGAGGTGATGAGCAGCAAGCTAGACATCGACAACATGGCGGGGGTCTTCTACATGCTCCTGGTGGCCATGGGCCTCTCCCTGCTGGTCTTCGCGTGGGAGCACCTGGTGTACTGGCGCCTGCGGCACTGCCTGGGGCCCACCCACCGCATGGACTTCCTGCTGGCCTTCTCCAGGGTATGGGGGAGGGAGGGAGGCAGAAGGGGAGAGATGGGGGGAAACAGGCAGGGATGCCTGGAAATGGAAGAGAGTGGGCCGAGGTGCGGGAGAGGAGGGAGGGATGGAGGGAAGGCAGGTGGTCCCGGGCCTCCCGCGCTGACCCTCTCCTCTCCCGCGGCCCCTGCAGGGCATGTACAGCTGCTGCAGCGCGGAGGCCGCCCCGCCGCCGGCCAAGCCCC